CCCTGTGCTCTTTCTCTGACTGCTTGTCATTGGTATATAGAAAGGCTATAGACTTTTGTAGGTTAATTTTGTAACTTGCCACTTTAGTGAATGTGTTAATAATTTCTAGGAGTTTGCGTGTGGAATTTCTTGTGTCTCTTAGATATAATATCACATCATCTGCAAAAAGGGATAATTTGATCTCTTCTTTTCCAATTATTACTCCTTTAATTTCCTGCCTTTGTCTTATTGCTCTTGCAAGAGTTTCAGGTACTATGTTAAAGAGAAGTGGAGATAGTGGACGGCCTTGTCTGGTTCCTGATTTCAATGGGAATGCTTCCAGTTTTTCTCCATGTAGAATGATGTTGGCTGTGGGTTTGTTATACATGGGTTTAGTTATATTGAAGTATGTTCCCTCCAGTCCAGTTCCCTTTAGAACTTTGAACATAAATCCATGTTGAATTTTGCCAAAGGCCTTCTCTGCATCTATTGAGATGACCATGTGGTTCTTGTCTTTGATTCCATTTATGATTTATGACGTTTATTGGCTTCTGTATATTGAACCATCCCTGCATCTCTGGGATAAAGCCAACTTGATCAGCTTGGATGATGGTTTTGATGTGTGCCTGTATGCGGTTTGCAAGTATCTTGTTGAGAATTTTTGCATCTATGTTCATTAAGGATATGGGTCTATAGTTTTCTTTTTTGGTTGTATCTTTACCTGGCTTTGGTATTAGAGTGATGCTGGCTTCATAGAAGGAATTTGAAGTTCTCCCTCCATTTCTATCTTTTTGAATAAATTAAGTAGTATTGGATGCAGATCTTCTTTAAATATCTGATAGAATTCTTCTGTAAATCCATCTGGTCCTGGGCTTTTCTTAGTCGGGAAATTTTGTATTACTGTTTCACTTTCTTTTTGTGTTATGGGTCTGTTTAAGCTGTTAATCTCTTCTTGGTTTAGTTTTGGTGGTTCCCATGCCTTTAGATATGCATCCATTTCTCTTAGGTTTTCAAATTTAGTAGCATATAGGTTTTTAAAGTATTCCCTTATAATGTTCTGTATCTTTCTGGTGTCTGTTGAAATGTTTCCCCTTTCATCTCTGATTTTGTTGATTTGGAGGTGCTCTTTCTTTCTTTTGATTAACTGGGCTAGCGGTCTGTCAATCTTGTTTATCTTTTCAAAGAAGACTTTTAGAAGTTGACAATCACGTGGTCTTACCAGTAGAACTACCAATTCGAATACTAATCTCTTCTTTTG